CCCCCTGCGGAGGCACGGGAGCGATGTCTCGGTGAGCTTGCTAACGGACGGCCGCCATTCCCGGTTGCCACACGCTTTGCCTACCCCTTGCAATGCTTTCCTGCCCCTCCCAAGGAGACCATGCATCAGGCATGGGTTCTCTGTCAGAAGTAGTTATTTTAAGACCAGTTATTATTTCTGAAATCAGGGAAATGTTGGTTACTAGACCTTGAAATGTAAAACGCAGCAGGCATGCTAAGTTTGGACAGCGTATGAAGTCTTCCTGCTCCCAGGCAGAAGAGGTACTTCATAGATTTCACGAGGACAGCAAACTTCTCCGTCACAATAACAGGATCATTAATTTTTAAAAAGTGAGACCTAACATAAACGTTTTTTGCTTCTTATTTCCTATTCAGGCTGGTCTTTTAATTACCTTACTAGTTGCAAAGGAAGAACTTGTAACCCCCTGAAATTTTCAAATTTTAATACAAATCGGATGGGTTTGTACAGTGCACTCAGGCTTTGTAACAAAGTGGGCAGGTATGGCTACATGTGCCTTTGATGTAAGAACTAGAAGGGATCAAGGGACCGCAAGTGATTCTGGAAACAGAAAGAACTGAAAAGTGAGGAATGCTTTTTATCTTGGGAGAGCTTCCTGCTAGTGTCATTTTCTTTTTTTAAATAGAGCATTAGGACATAAAATGAAGAAAGCGGAAAAACAAGTGTTGCTTATGGAATGGTCTTCAGAGGTACTGGTGGATTTGCAGGTGGCCATTTGCAACAAAAATAATTATTTCTTCCTTTTGGGGAAGAGTGAGGTGTAGCTGTAGAACAAGACAATTTTAGTAGCCTGGCTCTGGAGCGAGAGAGAAATTTTGAAGTACTGTGAAAAGGCATCCTGGGATTTGAATTGGTTTTTTGTGTGTGTGCGTGGCTTGAAAATATATGCACTTGCCATTAATTTTCAAAATGCTCTATTTCAAAATGTTCTTTCTTGCCGTATTGAGTTAATGTAAATAATGTAGACAGCTATGCCTTTCCCTTCAGCATGTGCTGACAGATCTTAATTTTTCAGGTTTTATTTTCTAAACAGGTTTGGTTTTGTGGTTTGTTTTTTCTTTTTTTTTTTTTTTCCCTCTCCCCTTAAGAAACAAAATCTTAATTTTTATTTCTTAAACTTTTCTTGGCAGGTGGAATTTTTCTAGGTACCGTTGCTACAGCCGGAATGATAGCAGGTTTTGGCACCACACTTGCCATGACAAAAAAGAAGAACCCAGACTGGTTCAGTAAGGTTTGTTCCTCACTGTTTTCCAATTGTGATACACAGGAAATAGTGCATCAGATGCTTTACAGAAATGTTGATATATATATGGAGGCTGGCTGTACAAAGTTGGTAGTAAGAGTACTAGACTTCGTTGAAGTCAATAGGGGTAGGATTAATTTAAAAATCAGTTCAGAGTTGGCACTGCTAATACTTTAGTACTTGAGGTTAGTTGAAATGGATAAAGCTTACACTGTTTGCTGGAATCATACTGCTGCCATATAATGGAATATAATTGATGGTCTGTTTGGATTCTGTGATGTGAGCACACTTCAGTCATGAGCCTGTATCACCTCAGTGATCCAGTTCACCACATGATCCCACAGTTCTACAGGGAATCGGGAAGTGAGGTAACTGCAGTAAGGATGGGAATGAGGAGGTCGAAAGCCTGTAAGCTGTGCAATATGTAAGTGGAATGATTTAGTCAAAATTTAAGCTTGCCACTCCCTTCTGACCATGTAAGGGGACTGATGAGAGTGAGTAGTGGCTCGGTACTATGAGATCTGATGGCCAAAAATAATCTGATCTCGTGCAATTCCTAAAGGAACCACCTGAGCATTCTGAAGAAAAAAACTACAAAGCAAAGGTAGCAATTATGCCGTGTTAGTATATTGAATCTAAAATACAGCATATTTAATTGAAGAATGCTTTTTTCCTCACTAATGCTTTATTAGTGCTGAAAATGTCAAAAATAGGCCCTTAAAACTGATTGATAAGTTTTGTCTCCACTGAGCCCTTAAAATACAACATATATTTCAGATGTTTTTAGGGAGCTGAAAACTGATGAGCTGCGTTTGTTTTTAAAATGTTAATTCAATAACAATGCATATCAAGAGAAAAAAAAAATCTTCCATTGCACTTTCTCTCACAGCCTTTGTATCTATCACTCACAATCTCCTTTTGTGGTCAAAAAGCCTCAGATCCTTCCTTTGCCATCCTATTTTCCTCTGTAGGAAAATAACTCATCCATTGCTTTTTCAGCAACAATAAATACGGCTTTCTTTTTTGAAAGAGGCAAAATAGAAAACTCCATGAGAAGTTATTTCACAAGCTATATAAATAAATATATTACAATAAGGAAGTTTTCTCTTTTTTTGTAACTTTTTTTTTCTTAAAACTTCCTTTTTCCTGAGCATTGCATTTTTTCCAGCTCACGCGTCTTCTTGGCTGGCTGAGCTGTCCTGTTATCAGTGTGAAATTTATCAAGAGCGACATTACATTGACATCCGAGAATGTATGTGCTGGAAATGGCACCAAGGGATACACACCATTTCGATTTTTGCTGAAAACCTGTATCTGTTACCATCTGTGCAAATGAGTTACAACAGTTTGCTAGCAAAAATCTGTGATTCCTGGCCCCCTCAACTTAAATATTGCAAAGTGTGGAAAGATGCTTTTTTGTCAAGATACTTGTAGGTGAGCAATTTCAAAAGGGAAGGCTGGACGTTGAGAATGACTTAACTGCCTATAGAGGCTCTTTGAGGTACCAACAAGGTAAACAGTTTTGCAGTAGCATTCTTACTTAATTTTACAGTTACTTACTGCAAGTTGTTTTAATAATACATCATGTATAATAACAAAAGTGTAACTAGAATAACTACAGATGATGGCATCCTTAAGATGTTCAATGCCTAAATACTATTTTTAGCGGTGTTAAGGTGAGGCCATAGTTCGACAGGTACTTCAAGCAAACATCAGCCAGCATTGCTGTTGAAAGAAGCCATCCTACCAGCCCTTGGTTTCTGGCAATTCATTCCTGCCCCTGTAAAGGCAGCAACACTTGCGCTACCAGGTTGGTGAGATGATAACTGGTTAATTCTATGGGATTTTTAATTTCTTGCATTAGTTTTAGTCCAAATCAGTCTTCTGATCCCCTTCACTGCATGCCTGCAGTGGCTGTGCTGGCACAAGCTTGGGGGAAGGTGCAAAGGAATGAGAATTGATGCTCAGAGTTGGGAAGAAATGCGAGACCTGTTCTTTCTGCATCTTTGCTGGCTTGTGCCAGTTTTTCTGTTAGTGAAATGGTGGCATGCAAGTCAGGTAGAAACAGGAAGCAAACATAATGCAGCCTGGGACAGATTTAAACAGTTTTATTGGAGGAAAAAAAAGCAATTTAGAGGGGAGGCTGAATCATCACAGCATCATGGCTTCATGACTGCATTCAGACTTCCAGGAAGCAACAGTATGGGACCCTCCTCTTGCAGAGTAGCATCAGCATTACTGACAAGACATAAAGCTGAAATTGTACCGACTGTATCTCCTCCATGGCAGGGAAGTAAAGTAAATGTGAACATTTGTAGGACTGGTGCCCAAATTGACTCAAAACTGAGATGACATAATCCTGTTTAGTGATGAATGACTGCAGAGACCTTCAGCTAAAAAATTGGG